CACTGGTGATGCTCTTTACACCGGCCGAGCCAATATTTCTCGGGAAAACGTCTCCGAGTGCCGGGACAAACTTGTGTCTGAAGTCGAGTCTTTGCTGAACAGAGTCTCGAATTGGGGGCGACTAAATCTAGTCCAGTTTAACCCCCAGAAGACACAGTTTGTGCGTTAACCGCTAAAAAGAACCCCTTTGTCGTATCTCCTCAGCTTCAAGGCACTCCCCCTTGTTGCCTCAGCCAGTATCGGAATCCTCGGCGTCGACATATCGAGTGACGTGCAGTTTCGTGGTCACTTGGAAGAGAAGGCCAAATTGACCTCTAAAAAAGCTTGGCGTGCTCAGCAGAGCGGGACAGTGTTTCATGCCGGCACACCGCCTGCAACTTTACAAGGCGCAGGTTCGGCCGCACATGGAATACTGTTCCCATCTCTGGGCTGGGGCTCCCCAGTACCAGCTCCTTCCACTTGACCGCATCCAACGCAGAGCGGCTCGAATCGTCGACGACCGAGTGTTTTCCGATCGGCTCGATTCACTGGCACTGCGAAGAGATGTTGCATCTCTATTTAGTATTTTCTTTCGCATATACCATGGAGAGTGCTCTGAGGAATTGTTGGGATTAATCCCAGCCGCCAAATTTCGTGAACGCACTACGCGACAAACGTCGCGATACCATCCACATCATCTGGATGCTTGGCGGTCCACCACTGTACGTTTCAAGAGGAGTTTTCTTCCGCGTACAACCTCTCTGTGGAATAGTTTACCACCAGCGATTTTTCCGGACCGATACGACCTGGGGACCTTCAAGAAAAGAGCGTACTCCTTTCTAAAGGGCCGGCAACGCACCTGCAATTCCCCTGGTGTTGCGGTTGATCATGGGCGGCGGTAGTCACTTAACATCAGGTGAGCCGCTACTCGTTTGCCCCCTCTTCTATAAAAAAAGTAATATGTGGCAACGTGAAATTGAAACTAGAAATCAATATCATAAATCAAACTAAGTTCAGGTTTGTTTACAACATGCCAGATGCAAGTTTGAATTTGGATGCAACTTGTGATGTCACCCGCAGCGACTTATTATATATACAAGTAAATTAGTGAAGTAATATCTATATAGCACCCTCTGAATCTATACGATGCGCTGAGTTAACTCGGTAACTCGGTAAAATTCATTTTCGGCTAATATTTCCGATATGGACCATCGATTTCAAAGCCCATATTTTTTTTGTAGATAGTACTCACTAAAAGAAAGCGTTTTGCATAGTTTTAGGTTGCGGAAACATACGGTTCATGAGATATATTTTTTTAAACTTTTCATACAAATTGGTAAATAACACACAATTACAAAATAAATTTGACAAATGATTGATGTCAAACGTCAGTTAGTGTAGGGTTCCGAATATTTTCAAAGTATCGATACCTACTCGATACCAAGTATCGTATCAAAAGTATCAATACTACTTGGTATCGAGTACATTTCGTTAATTTTGGAGACTAGGGGGTAAGCAGCCGGGAAGTTGTGCTCCGGCGCACTAGAACTAGAAATACAAACAAGTTGCAAACAATGAAATACAAGTACTAAGGTGGAACTTAAATAGTGTAAACTTTATTCTACTTTATATACATTATATATTATTGCACTTATCAGCTCTTCCTATGCATCTAATTGGTTTGTCATAATTTTTCGTCTCCAAAATTAACGAAATGTACTCGATACCAAGTAGTATTGATACTTTTGATAAGATACTTGGTATCGAGTAGGTATTGATACTTTCAAAATATTCGGAACCCTACACTAACTAACGTTTGACATCAATCACTTGTCAAATTTATTTTGTAATTGTGTGTTATTTGCCAATTTGTATGAAAAGTTAAAAAAAATCTATCTCATGAACCGTAAGTTTCCGCAACCTAAAACTTTGCAAAACGCTTTCTTTTAGTGAGTACTATCTACAAAAAACAATATGGGCTTTGAAATCGATGGTCCATATTGGAAATATTAACCATATTATCAATTATCTGGAAGGTTAGCCAAATATTAATTGACACAAGTACGTATGTTTTTCTCTTTTTATTTTTTTGTGGTAAAATTCGCAAATATAATATAAGAGTTTATTAATTTACACCTATTCTAGGTTGTGAAAATCTATTATTAAGTTTGTATATTTTACCTAAAACAAATACAAATAACAAACAGGTCTTAGAACCTTATTAGTTTGTTAAAAGTGACAAAGTATTAAGTTTATATTATTAGTAAAATCTAAATTAGATAATAAATAGAATAAATGCACAAAAAAGTTATTATAATGTTAAAAGAAAATTAGAATCTTTGAGTCGAGGGACTTAAAGAGGGTTTTGAAGAGCAATTCATATAACTGCATTTGTGTACAAATAGGTACCTTATGTATTCAGCAAGTTGCTTAATACTAAATGGCTTTTTTGTTAAGCCAGACACGGATCCTGGATTTATACCAGCCATAGTAGATAGGCAATATAAATGTTACTTATATTTATATGTAAAAAATGTAGTAATTATTTGTACTAGAAGCAAATATCAAGTTTATTAATAATAGTTTGCATAAAAAAAGTGTAATGGTTGTATCTAATATGCTTAGACAGCTGTGTTGTTCACTGTGCAGAAAGGAATATTTTGTCATCTAGAATCAGATATACTTAAATAATATCTTTGTCTCCTATGTACATGAAACCGGTAAAAATAAAATGTGAGACAACTTTTACATGGTTGAATATCATTGATGTTAATAATTACTGCTTACTATAATTTATAATAATTTCTTTATTATTAACATATGAAAAGGCAGATATAATAAAATGCTCACAGAAATATGTAAATACAGTATATTGACATTGAAGGCATAGTCTTATCTCATATCTCTTATTATTAAAAATGTCCTTTTAATTCCTATATAATATAGAAAAAAATTATATATTGATAAGAATTATTACATAGTTAAGACACCTTTACAATTGCCATTAACTTCTTTTTTAGGTGGATCACTTAGAACAAATCTGTATGCCTTGCAGGCTAAAAGCTTGCAGAGTCAAAAAGTGTATGGATATTGAAGAAGAGTATATGGGTCTTATATCATATCTCTTATAATTGAAAATGCCTTCTGATTGCTTACAATATCATAAATGTACATGTTACCATCAAGTTATTTTCAAAAAACCTTCAGAAATATATCTAACACTAAAATGTTTCTACCTATGTCCGTTATAGACAAAACGTAAGAAACCATCCAACCAATTTCAATGAAAATGTTTGTGTGTGTTTGGATGGATCCCTAGATGGTTTATATTTACATTTGGACCCGTTAGATGGCACTGTTGTCGGGATCCATAAAGTGCTGCAGCTGAGGTGCATCGCTATTAATAAATACATTTAAATTATGCCTGTGTTTTTGTAATCATTACACAAACAGTTTAGAACATCTTACTTCCTCACTATTTATCATTGTGTAATAACATAGATAAGGCATGTTAATTCCTAGTCATTTTATTATGATGTATACTACTTACTAATCAACCAAAACATATTAAAACAATGTCTTGACACCACTCCCGTCTATATATGTCAGTCAATCATCGAAGTTCAAAAAATGTATTAAATTAAGTTTGTATAAAAGGGGTTATTATAATATAAAGGAATTTATGGCTGACAATAATCCGTGGGTGAGGTGATCGCTACCAAGCTATTTCTAATTTGTTCTGTGTTGTTAATTATGATATACATGATTGTAAGCTGGCTTTTTTTTAGAAGACCCACTGGGTATTTTGCTGGTTCTTTTCAAGACAGAGGTTTTTTCCGAACCTTTGGTAAATTAAAAAAGTTACTTTTAATAAGTACTATCTAAATTGAATAAAAGGTTTCTGTTTCTGTACCTACTACTGTTAATAGAATACTTAAATAAATTATGATTTACAATAATAAATAGAATTACCTACATTATATTTTGTTTTTTGTAATACAACCAGTTTAAAACATTTCTTACTGTGTGTTGGTAATATCATAAATATAAATAGACATTATCCCTTAGCCATCTTGGTATTTAGAATTACACTCACAATCAATCAATACATGTCAAAAATAGAATCCATACATTTGTGCACAGACAGGCACTATGTTTTGCCAGAACTAATGAAAAGTTTTACATCGATTTTATAATATTTATAAATGCTGAATATACCTACAGCTTAGTTTTATATGTACTATTATTCAAGTGTGCACTATTTTAACTTATAATACCGATGAATACTACTAGAAAATCGCTTTCAGTTTGTTTTTAGGTTATTGTTAGATTCACATTTTATTTGTTAATTTCTCAGGACTCTGTTTAGATGCAGTAAAACTAATAATTTTATTGTAATTTATGGATTATAAGGAATAAATCGACATGCATTTCATTGATAATCTTTAAAATTTGTAGTGGGCCCATTCTCCATAGAAAAATTGATTGTCTCCTTTAAGGGCAGAAGTAGTTTGAAGCAGTACATGTCTAAATGCATAAAATTGAAAATATGGGCCAGGTGTGACGCTACAACAGGCTATATGTACCAGTTTCAAATTTATACAGGGAAAGGAGACAGCGCAGAAAACGAAGGACTAGGATATAATGTAGTTATGTCACTTTGCCAGGATCTTCCAAGAAACACACTGGTTGCTTTTGATAATTTCTTCGCCAGTTGCAACTTGATGGAAGATTTATTTGATAAAGGTATATATGCTGTAGGAACAGCCCGAAGCGATCGGAAAGATCTCCCGAACATTATGAAAAAAACTCAGCCCAAGAACTTAAGACTAGATAAACATCAATCTGCTTCTATGACGTCTGAGCCAATAACTGCTTTAAAATGGCACGATACCAGGAATGTGACTGTTTTGACAACAGCTCATGAGCCACTTGACACGTTATTTGTGAAAAGGACATAAAAAGATGGCTCGCGAAAAGACATTCTCTGCCCAACGGCAATCGCCGCATACGCTGTCGATATGGATGGGGTGGAGCACTTTGACCACTTTAGGTCATCGTATCCAATAGACAGAAAATCTCGAAAATATTGGATGAGGTTGTTCATCTTCATGTTCGATTCCGCTGTTATAAACGCATACATAACTTACAACATGACTCATGTAGTGACACCACATTCACACCGAAACTTTAGACTGAGATTAACTCAAAGAAGCAATATAGACCGACAATATTCAAAAATAAAAAAGGAGGACACTTTGGAGTACCAGAAGAAATCCGTCTCCTCAACGTCGGTGTGCACTTGCCTGAAGAATGTGACACATACAAGAGGTGCAGATTTTGCAGCACCATAAACTTGCAAAAGAGATCAAAAATATGTTGTTCTATGTGTAAAGTGACTCTGTGTGCCAAGTCATGTTTCAGACTTTTTCACACTGCGGAGGAAACTCAAGCAGAATAATTATCTACTTTTATAATTAATAAAACTCTCTACTTATTATGAACACGACTACATTTTATTTACCTGCTAAAAATAGATATTACATTCATATCCACATTCGAAAAAATGTTAATACCTATATTTTTTTGTATTACCTAAATTACACGAGCAAACTAGTATAGGAATTTGTTCAAATCGTATTGGATAATGGTAACTATTTTACCACCACCGTAATATTTTACAAGTCGATAATGGATAATGGTAAGATATTTGCCACCCAAAAACCCCCTTTCCCTCCCCTTTTTTGTTTTTTTTTCTATCAAAAATGTAATCACCGGCCCCTAATTACCTAGAAACAAACCTTAAGGACGCGTTTACAAAATTGATAGGTATAGAATCGCACTACTACATTGACAAAAGTCACACACACAAGTGTACGCACGGTTGGCTAGTAGTCAAATGCAATTATTTTGATAATTTGAAAGATTGAATTTGTTTTTCATTTCTTATACCTCAGAAATATATACATAAATACGAATACCTGCTCCAGAGACTGCTTGGCACTGGAAGCCCTCTACTGGTTAGCTCTGGACTTTGAACTGGTTTTGTCAGTTATAATAAGACCTTACCTACCTGCGGACTTGATGGAGTGACCTGAAGGTGTAATTCGATGATTACAACAGGAACTCCTAGACTAGTAGAACTAGGTGTGCCGAGTTTGGGTTCGTTTTGTTGGTTACGATGAGACCTTACTACCGGACTTGATGGAGTGACCTGAAGGTGTAATTCGGTGATTACAACAGGAACTCCTAGACTAGTAGAGAACTAGGTGTGCCGAGTTTGGGTTCGTTTTGTTGGTTATGATGAGACCTTAGTACCGGACTTGATGAAGTGACCTGAAGGTGTAATTCGGTGATTACAACAGGAAATCCTAGACTAGTAGAACTAGGTGTGCCGAGTTTGGGTTCGTTTTGTTGGTTATGATGAGACCTTACTACCGGACTTGATGGAGTGACCGGAAGGTGTAATTCGGTGATTACAACAGGAACTCTTAGACTAGTAGAACTAGGTGTGCCGAGTTTGGGTTCGTTTTGTAGGTTATGATAAGACCTTACTACCGGACTTGATGGTGTGACCTGAAGGTGTAATACGGTGATTACAAGTCGAACTCCTAGACTAGTAGAACTATGTGTGCCGAGTTTGGGTTCGTTTTGTAGGTTTTGATGAGACCTTACTACCGGACTTGATGGAGTGACCGGAAGGTGTAATTCGGTGATTACAACAGGAACTCCTAGACTAGTAGAGGTCACTCCATCAAGTCCGGTGGTAAGGTCTTATCGTAACTAACAAAACGAACCCAAACTCGGCACACCTACTTCCACTAGTCTAGGAGTTCCAGTTTAATCACTGAATTACACCTTCAGGTCACTCCATCAAGTCCGGTGGTAAGGTTGCATCATAACTAACAAAACGAACCCAAACTCGTCACACCTAGTTCGACTAGTCCAGGAGTTCCAGTTGTAATCACTGAATTACATCTTCTGGTCACTCCATCAAGTCCGGTGGTAAGGTTGCATCATAACTAACAAAACGAACCCAAACTCGTCAAACCTAGTTCGACTAGTCTAGGAGTTCCAGTTGTAACCACCTGATTACAACTTCAGGTCACTCAATCAAGTCCGGTGGTAAGGTCTAATCGTAACTAACAAAACGAACCCAAACTCGGCACACCCAGTTCCACCAGTCTAGGAGTTCCAGTTTAATCACTGAATTACACCTTCAGGTCACTTCAAGTCCGGTGGTAAGGTTGCATCATAACTAACAAAATGAACCCAAACTCGTCACACCTAGTTCGACTAGTCTAGGAGTTCCAGTTGTAACCACCTGATTACACCTTCAGGTCACTCAATCAAGTCCGGTGGTAAGGTCTAATCGTAACTAACAAAACGAACCCAAACTCGTCACACCCAGTTCCACAGTCTAGGAGTTCCAGTTTAAGCTCACTGAATTACACCTTCAGGTCACTCCATCAAGTCCGGTGGTAAGGTTGCGTCATAACTAACAAAATGAACCCAAACTCGTCACACCTAGTTCGACTAGTCTAGGAGTTCCAGTTGTAACCACTTGATTACACCTTCAGGTCACTCAATCAAGTCCAGTGGTAAGGTCTCATCATAACTAACAAAATTAGCCCAAACTCGGCACACCTAGTTTTACTCTGTAAGAAGTTCAAATAGCGGTCACGAAAGTACACCTTCAGGTCACACCATCAAGTCCGGAGGTAAGGTTTCATCATAACTAACAAAACGAGCCCAAACTCGGCACACCTAGTTCACCTCGTCAAGGAGTTGCAGTAGTGGTTACCTTCAGGTCACTCTATCAAGTCCAGAGGTAAGTTTATACACTCACCGGCACGGAAACTTGGCCAAGCGGTTATCTCGCGATAGCAAAAGCTTTAAGTGTTTCTGATGAATGTTTGTTATGCAAGTATGTCAAAAAATGTTTACCCTCAAGTTCAAGAGGGTAATTCATTATGTTTAAGTGCACCATGACGAATTCTTTAATTTTTAGTTGAATCGGGTCATTTGAGCGACTAAGTTCACATTTTAAATTTGTGTGTTGTGAAAAGTTTACTGTAAGGTTATTCAATTATTGTGATCTTGTGTCTTAATTAAATAACTAAAGGTGCTTTAAAGCCAATAAAAATGCCATTAACACCAGCACAAGTTGCACAAGCAGTAGCATTAATTGACCAAGGGCTGACACAGCGTGAAGTTGCTATTGTGCTTAACGTACCACGGTCCTCAATGCAGTATTCACTGAAACGATACCAGGAGACAGGCCGCTACACCCGCAGGCCAGGCAGTGGGGGCGTAAGGTGCACATCGGCCCGGAACGATCGTTTTATTGTTATGGAGATTTTGAGAAACCGCTACCTGACCGCTGTTGAGATACGCCAGCGGCTCCAAATCGCAAGAGGCGTTAATGTTAGTGAGCGTACGGTGAGAAGACGAATGGAGGAAGTGAATTTAAAAGCTTGTAGACCAGCACGAAGTCCAGAACTTCTCAGACAGCACCGAGTAGCCCGACTTCAGTTCGCAAGAGAACATGTCAATTGGACCCACGAGCAATGGGCTAGAGTGTTGTTCACAGATGAGTGTCGAATAGCTTTACGTGCTCCAGACGGTCGAGAACGAGTGTGGAGAAAAAGAGGAGAGAGGTTTCTACCCATTACCACCACCCAAACTTTGAGTTTCCATGGAGGCTCAATAATGGTATGGGGAGGTGTAAGTTCCGACGCACGTACAGAGTTGGTCATCGTCGATAATCGGCTTACAGCTACTCGATACATCGAGGAAGTTCTTCAGGAGCACGTAATGCCTTATTCGGGATTCATTGGACACGACCAATTCCTCCTCATGCACGATAATGCACGCCCGCACGTCGCACATTGTGTAGAGGAATATCTGGAAGAGGTTGGAATACAAAAATTACAGTGGCCAGCTCGTAGCCCGGACTTAAATCCAATTGAGCATGTATGGGGTATGCTCAAAAGAAAGATAAAGTCCAGCTCCAAACCGCCACAAACTCTAAATGAGCTCCGAAATGCAGCGCTGGCCGCTTGGGACAGCATACCGCAAGTTGATGTCAGAAACATCATTCAAAGCATGCCAGATCGAATGCAAGCGGTTATCAGGGCTAGAGGAGGAAACACCCGATATTAAAACTGATAGACAATAAAGAAACAGACTTAATTTTTAACTTTGTAGTGTTTTTAAAGTGACAATGGAAAGATGTTAATTTTAGTGAAAACATGTTATCTTGAAAAGAAAAATTTCGGTGAAGTAAACATAAAATTTCTATGTTCTAAAACCATTAGAGACACTTATTGAATGCATCTACCCTTAATTTACTGTTAAAAAAACGTTTCAGTGCAAATAATCAGCAAATTCACGAGTGGCCAAATTTCCGTGCCGGTGAGTGTATATCCTACTTATTTTTAGCTAAATAAAAGACTGTGAGTTTAAAAATAATAATTTTATCACTTGTCAAGCACTTATGTTTCCAATTTGTTTTTTTTTCTAATATTTTGTGTATGTACAGCGATCTTTTCAGAATGAGCCGCTGCAAACAGGCTATACAGTGTCCACTCACGACGGCGGCCGAGCGCGGACTGTTGTTTCATCGAAATCTTTGTACAATAAATCAAAGCAGGCACCAACAATAAAATAGCCCTTATTGCAATACATTATGATTCATCCGTATTAGCAAAATATGTGAAAAAATATGCATCAGTTTTTATTTTTTCTACGACTATTTGTGATATTTTGATAAAAAATAAACACAGGGTTTTTTAATTGAATATGTCTGTCATCTTATAGTATTTTTTAAATTTTTTAAATATGTTGATAATAGACCAAAACATGTACCGAAACTCAAGCCGGTATCGTTAATTTTGTAGAAAATGGCAACGAAAGTTCGTTTTTACAATATAAAAAACTACTATTTTCAACAAAAGAGTTACAGACGTTTGCAGATGAAGAACCAATCTATACATGGTAGTTTTTACTTATATTTGATTTGGTTTAGTTTTGTCACAAAATCTACCGAAAAACACCCTAATTTTGGTTGATTTGCAAACGCGTCCTTAACATTAAGAGTTAAATCAATATCTTTACGCACCGCCAGCTGCATCCAGCCTAGTCAATACAAATGTAATTATTACCTTTTTGTAACGCACGCGATTGTAGGGCAGTCCAAATAGAATATTCTGACGCACGGCAGCAACGAACAGCCACGGCTCCTGGCTGGCGTACGATATTCGCGCACCGCCTAAAGAGACGGTCCCGTGCGATGGTTCTAACTCACCCAGAATTAGTTGCAATAGGCTTGACTGCAAATGTCATTATTACC